GCCTCAGAGAGGGAACTTCATAACTGTGACAACTTAGACAATAGAATCAAATACGCTGATATGATATTTAAATTAATATTTGAACTGGAGGAAGTAAGTGAAGGAGAGTTGAAATGAGCAACTGATAAAGAAATAGGATAAAATTTCAAGTCTTAAAACTAAGATCTGTACAAAATAACTGTACACAACCGATGGACTGACAACCGGCACATAGTAACAAGCAAAAAATAAAATCAGCATCACCAAGATGGCCAGATAAAACTTTAAGTTAATGAACTTCACTATTAAATCTGCGCAGAACGGTGACTGAATAAAAATGAAAAACAAAAAACACACATGCACGCATGTTGTAAAAAATATTGTACAGTGTCTCACACAAAAAAGCAAACTCCGTAATATGCAACAATAAAATTTTTAAAAATCTGTACAAACTTATGTTATTTTGATTAGTATAAGTTAGACAAGCTTCGAGTAGAATATGCGGTTAATAAATTAGTAGAACTGGTGACTAAGTTACAAATTTTTGGTTACATTAGAGAACGCCACACATTGGAGGAAAATCCTCCTCATGTTTTTTAATGAATCTGGCGACGTGGAAAATGTACAATTTCGACAAAGCATTACAATTTGAACAAGATGCAAACTGATACATGCTTTTGTCTTTTTTTATATTCATTATTGCAATCAATTTCGTTGGTTTTTATTAAGAATAAGAAAAATGAGCAGATGATTACGAAAAAGAGTTTACATAAATAATCATAGTTATTGATAATCAGATCAAGTTCAGGCTAGTTCTTAATCTAGTTACAAATCAAGAATTTGAGGACCTGAAAAATTGTGTTTAATTTTAGGCACTTTTAGACCCCAAGCCTTTGGTGCTCAAACAGGTTCAATTCATAGCTTTTTGGTTGGGTATTTTCTTTTCGGGTCTGACAATAAAAATTGAACGGGTGCAAATTATCCATTCGGAGTTTTTAGAGAGTTAATACAAGTTGTCACAAATCGAAAGATGGGAACTTTAAGGATTGACCCTTCAGACCCAAATAGGACTGTTTCGTTATCTATATGATATTCTTTAGTTGCAACCATTTTAAGGGGACATCCCCTAAAAGTACGTCCATAAAAATTGATATTTAAATTTTAGCCCAATATTAACAAAACTACATGAGCTTTGAGGATAGGGAGTATTTTTATGCGCTACATTCATTCCTTAAGGGCAAAAAAAGTTAGGACTAAAAGCAAGTGAGGCTTTAGAGGGGCTCCTCCTAAAAATGTATCCCCCTTGAAACGCCTCAAACGAAAAAATGAAGTCTCATTTAAGTCTAAAGAAGTGATCCATTCGGTTTATATACTTTGATTTGAGACACCATGTATAAGAGGACAGATTGATACTGGGTTAAGTTCACACCAACCAATTGAGAGAAATGTTTTTTTACAATAATAAAAAAATGCTTGAATTCAAACATTTTTTATCGGAAAGCTTCGTTAAAAGCTTAGGAGTAAATAAAATTATCGCTGAAACAAACAAAGCATTTGGCTGACAAAAAACCTAAAATTAGATTAGGCCGATTAATACTGATAAGAACAGTATCACGTTATAAATACTTTTGTCGTAAAGACAAAGAGGATACATCATTAATATTAAAAAAAATAAATAAATAAATGAAATAAAAACTTGCATTAGGAGAGGACTTGATTGCTAAACGCTTTTCGCTTTAAGGAAGCAATTTGACAAAAGAGAAGACAGATGAAAACGAACAAGGACAAAAAGACTAGAGAAAAGGTAATCTTGCCGCAAAAGCAATTCGCAAGCGTTCGCGGGGGGGGGGGGGGNGGGGGGGGGGGGATGAATTTGTTTTGGAGTTTTTGATTTTGACACATGGTTCAAAAAATACTCTTTACGAAGAAGTAAAAGCTACAGCGATAATACAGCAATGATATGAAAATTGGAGTTATCCTACTTTCAAATGTAATATGGGGCTGCCGATAACGCCCCATCAAGGAGGCCAGAAAAATCCTGCTGCCTCTTGCGATAATGTGCTCTGATTAGTTTATACGAGATGGTGAATTTTGACTAATACTACTTACTAACTATTCAGCATGACAGCCCTTTGAGAGCCTTGGCCTTCTCCACTAACTTTTAACTAATAGCTCCTCAGGAAAGAGTTTAAATTTTCCAGCAAGGGTATATCTACCTACTTGAATAATAAACTGAACAAATGACAATTTCATTCACAACCCATAACTTAATCTGTTTGCTACTAAACATTACAGACCAAAATCGGTGATACTGCAACTACAAAATTTAAACTTGGAGGCAATTTTTTAAAAAAAAAAGATAAACCTCACCAAAATGCAATTCGCTAGGCAATGGACACACTGTAATCCTTATTGTACTGAGTTCTAAATATATTGAGCTTCCAGAGCTTAAAATATCTTCAAGAATATATAAATTAATAATTAAGTTTCTTTACAGGGATCTAGGAATTCATGACTTTTACAAGTTATGTGTCAGAGAGATACAAGTGGTTAAGTAAGTTTTTCAATGCATAATAATTTCATGACTCATGAAAAAATTAGGAAATTGATTAAACAGCAGTTGACGATACTGTACACAGCAAAGCATAATGAACAGACCGTTGGGGCTTGTACAAGAGATGTCGTTGTTTGTAAGGTAGGTCTACATTTATCCATATGTTTCATGAGAGATACTAAAGATGTTTTTGAAAACAAGAAACGCTAACAGCGAGGACTATTAATCACAGCCTAGAAAAGATCTATGTTTGACAAAAAATCGGCCAAAAGAAACATTTGCATTGAGCGGATAGACAATATCAAATTAAGATTAACCGAGAAGGCCAGAAAAGCTATGCAGGTTCAAACAAAAAAAAAACTCAAGAAGTATCTACCTCACAGGAAACAGTTACAGGGAGCAGAAAAAAATAAGAACACAGGCTAAAAATTCAAAGGGAACCTTCGTTTGCTAAAATACCTATAGGGTCAATTTAAATAAGAGCAAATAAATTCTTTGCTGCTTGAATTTAGGATTGAAAAATGTGAGTCAAGCTGAAATAGGACATTAAATACAATTTAAATAATTAAATAAGAAGAATAATACTGAGCAATACAGTCATAATGCAAAGCTGCTTAATAGGAGCTGCAATTGAAATTGCTTAGGATGAAAACAGACAACTGAAAGCATGACTTGCAATCAACAATGTACAGATTTAAGCACTCTGATACGTTTTCTCTTCAAAATTTCACAAAGAACACGATTCAAGCGACAAAAATTACTTAAATAAACACCTAACCAAAATACTAATATTTTTAAATAGCACTGGACAAAATTGAATTTCCCACTTGTAAGAGAAACCATTAAATTACATGAATCAAACTGCATACTACTATGGTTTTAACAGGCTTACAGGCTTCTTTGATCAAACTGTGTTCCTCTTTCACCTTCTGTTGTTTGAAATGTAAATAACATACAACAGCTGCGCCGAAATGTCGGGATTGAGAATGCCATACTTACATACTGCGGATACAGTTACAGTAATGTTGAAAATTGAAATTGAACTCAAGTAGATGATGGTTTTTTTCAACAGCTGGAAGTTTAAATTCATGCATCAAAATTCTTGGTGAGGAGATACTTTCAATAATTTTGTTGCGAAAATCATATTATTTATTAACTTCTGATGAAAAACCGTACATTTGAATGCTTAATTCGCACCTAGCCTAGTGTTCCATTAGACGACAATCTGGAATTAGGATGTGAGCAAACACTGAGGTTTATAATCTCCAGAAAATATCAGAGAAAATCACAAACAAATGAAGTAGCCTGAAAGAGAGCAATTGAAGCGGGGCTAAAGTAGATAGATAATTGTTCCAACCCTTAGACAATAGACTCAGCCCAGCCAGACGCCAAATTTAAGAGTTAAAAGAGAGAGTATGATTTTTGAGAAAACAGAGAAGAATCGGAAAATTAAAAAACTCAAACTCACAAAATAAAATTAAAAAGCCGACGCGTTTCGGGACACCTCGGTCCCTTCTTCAAGACTAAATTCCGACTGCCTGTTGTTGTTTACATCCTGCTTGGTGTGGAATCTATCAGTGCTGCCAATCACTTTGAGCAAACAGTTTTCCAGGCATTCCAAATCTAAATTTACCAACTTGTCTCTCTTTTTGTGCATTTCCATAGCTTCCAAGATGTTCAGCTTCCTTCTATCGTTGCATCCAATTAACAGTTTCCCTTCCTCTTCGAACCGATGTCCTGTCTCAAGATTATGCAAAGCTACTGCTGACTTGTCAATTTCTCTGTTCTTAATACATCTTTGATGTTCTTTTATTCTTACTTTCATCTTCCTTCTTGTCTGCCCAATGTATTGCTTGTCACAGTCTTTACATTTCAAACTGTAGATGCCAGCCCTGTCTTCTTCTCTAACTTGGTCCTTAAGATCACCATGGAACACTGATTTCAAATTGTGCCTATTAACTGGAACTGCTTTTAGGTGATACTTAAGAAACACTTTTTTAAACTTTGAAAAATGGTTTGGATGGTAGCAGATCTTCACAAAGGCGCCTTCATCCTCTCTTATACTTTTAAGCAGGATGTAAACAACAACAGGCAGTCGGAATTTAGTCTTGAAGAAGGGACCGAGGTGTCCCGAAACGCGTCGGCTTTTTAATTTTATTTTGTGAGTTTGAGTTTTTTAATTTTCCGATTCTTCTCTGTTTTCTCATTTAATTAGCTCATAGTTTGTTACCTCGGTTTTTTCCGTTAGTTTCGTTTGTTTTCGACTCTTTCGGTTCGTAAGTATGATTTTTATTCATCCACTAGGTCAGAAGTTTGTCCAATACAGAATGTTCGTTTTGGTATCCCTAATTTGATTAAAATTGACTATACATGAGGGGACTGTCGGAACAGATAAACCACATGAGTAAAATGTCCCCATACAGAAGATAGAATCTCAAAAATTCAAATCCTACGCTCAAACAGAATACACATTTAAAGGTTATCGCCTTGGGGATCCTTCAGACTATCTCACTTATATCACTCTGAGGAGTGCTGATTAAGCAAAAATCTAAGATGAGAAGTCGGCGAGGTGACAAATTTTAATCCAAAATTCATCACAAAACGATAATGTGAGGGGAAAATGGTTTCATCTGAGCATTAGGTAATTTATTTTGAGGAGGCGCAGGCTAGTATTACCAGTGAGGAGGGGAGCAAAGTAAAAAAAATCTAATTTTCAGCGAGACATATTTCATGAACGGCCCCTAACAGTGGCAAGGCGTGAATTGCGATATATCGATTGTTATGCCATTTAAACCGATGAAAATTGATCGATTATCGGGGTGTTCGCAGCGAACACCTTAGTAATCGATTCTTTACCATAGCTTCAAATGGCGAGATATCGATAATCGATTATTCACGCCACGCCACTGGTCCCCAAGTTGGCTGATCTGAGTCTATTAACCTTGGATGAGCCAATAATACATAAAGGACTAAGTCACTAGCAAAATGTTAAAAAGCCTATATCATGAAACATAAATATGTTTCCTAGTGTCTCATTCAATGCTAAAATGAGCACACTTCAATTTTTCCATAGCAGATTGCAAGAAGAGTTACGGGGCATTTTGGCTTCTGCATCAGTGAAGCATTAAGCACAAATGATTTATAAAAGGTCATAAATTCTAGATGCTACAATTTTCCATTTCAAAAACCTGCTGGGAAGGTTCAATTCTAAGTTGCGTCGAGAAACATCAGGAACTTTTCCCAGACTTGCCGGCTGAACTTTCTTCTATTGACCAATTTCTAGAGTATGTTCTGGTGGTTTGGTAGCTCCAAGTTAGACATTGGATAAATTTAAGGTGTTCATTTTAAAAAACTACTTAATACTTACGAAGAACGTCAATTTGGACTCATTAAAATTGTCTAAAGTAATTCCCACCCCAAAATGGCAGTATTGCTTCTAAGATGATGTAATCCACCAAATCACTGAATGGATGAAGTATGTTTTAGAATATCTTGGCCAGACACGCTTAAGAGTCTCACTAACAAAACGTCCAAAATCTGTCATGAGGTGGACAGGGGAAGAGAATTTTCACCAGTTGGCACCACAGGCACTTGTCAATCCACCTGCGACACTTACTGATGAGAAAAAACCCTTTAACTATACAAAATGTCAAATAAGTCTGAATCTCAAGGTACATACTTTGAAACGATGGAGATAGGTAAAACTTTGGATGTGTTGCAAACCTTTAAAAACGTAAGCAGCTTTTCGAAATTCACGGGTCAACGAGATAGTTAAACTTCCGTACTTCGGCTTGGTTGGACGATTTCTTCTGCTCGAGAAGATTTCCTTTCCCTCTTGGCGAAAAGGCCTCCGAGGAACGAGGACTGATTTTTGGAGACAGGAACGTTGTTCATTTTGGGGTAGATGCTCTGCGGGGAGGAGTCTCTACTCACAGTGCTGGCTGACGTCGACTGAAAGGAGACAGACATACCTGAGTCCAGGGATCCCACACTTCCCCGCCGTTGCCCTTTTTCCGCACCGACTGAAAGATAAAAAGAGACATGAACCAATTATCCCTGCATTGATGATAATGAGAATTCCTGCATGATCATGGACAAAAAATATTATCTAGTGTGGAAACACACTATTTTGTGAACCTTATAAGAATGTATGCCAAGCATCTTCAGGGTGTCAAGTTTTTTTTCATTTTCGGAAATCCTGATTTTTCCTGATTTTTGACTGCTAAATCCTGATTTCATAATTTTCCCAAATCCTGATTTTTTGCAGAGAAAAATTGGCAAATGTAACTTCACAAAAATAGCTCAATAAAAAAATCCGATTGGACGGCAGACTTTTCTCAAATCCTGATTTTACGACCGATTTTGTCTCAAATCCTGATGATTTCAAGATTGAATCCTGATTGACCTCAAATCCTGATAGAATCAGGAAAATCCTGATAGAATCAGGAAAATCCTGATGCTAGAAACTCTGATCTTTAGCAAAGGGAGATTTTTCTTAGTCCCGTTTTCAAACTATACAAAACAAGGGTAAAGTCCAAATATTAATTTCGATAAGACTGCAAAGGGCTCAAAGCAAAATTCATGATAGATTAAGCAGAATGACTATCAGGACATGTTATAAAAATACTCTAAAACATAATACAGAGTGTAGCTATAAAAGTAATGCAAACACTGAAGAAAGAAAAGTTTAATTCAACCAATCAAAGATCTTGCTTTACAAAGTGATCAAGACATCGAAGCTTAAACATCTCATTGTAGATTGAAGTTTTAAAACATGCTGATTTGGCTTCCCCAGTTCAACAGCCAGAAAATTTAAAACATCAGCTTTTATCGATTAAAAAAGAATCAAGTCCAGAGAAAACTACTTACATTGGTCATGAATGTCGAGCAGGGAATTACTGAGGGCTGATCGTTTTAAAACGGCTGGATTGTCTACCGGCAATTTGATTGACGCAGGTTCATTTCTGGGTGATGTGCTTACTAGCGGACACACCTCAACATCTGCTACTCCACTATCTCTATTGTCAGGACTTCCGTTATTACTGGAGGATCTGGAAGGTAACATATTCGAAATGATAGACTTTTAAATGCCGTTGGTTCAGCTTCCAAAATTTTTCGAAGGAACGTCTTGGTCCTCTTCCAAGAGACATAAAGGTTTCATGCCTAAATAGTTAAAAGTAAGTGACTCAAAAATTGACAGCGTTCACAACTTGACTAATCATTTTCAGCTCTTTTAATTGAGTTGTCTTATATTTAAGGCTTATATCATTGAAGCATAAATATTTCTATGATCATTGGGGATAAATGATGAATCATAAATCATATCCTTCTTCTCCCCTATAAAGAACATAAGATCTGTTAGACTCAGTTTCCCCTTCTTCAAATTATTTGAAAATTCAGTTGCATGATCACTAATTCAGAATTATTCAGCTGAAGACTGCTTAGAGATTATTACTTACCTCACAACTCGACTACTTTTCTGCCTTTCCAGTTCAGATTCGATACGGAGGTTCTCCATTTCGTCCATTTCGCTTATTGACTCCCGAATATCTTCAGCGAACTTGCAGCGGTCATGGTCGTTCCTTGCATTAAAAATGATGAGCAACTGACTGTCAACTTTTTGAGAGAGTTTAATTCCGAATGGATAATCTATAAATCAAACAAAAAATGCGGTTACTGGTAAAACTCGATTAAAAAATTACCTAGCTTTCCCTCAAAATTTCGAACATTTTCTCTAATTGTATGATACAAAAACGAAACATTTTAGCAACATGATCAACTTCTTCACTTTTTCAAATTTCTGCTTGTGCCTGCAACAAGATCTTTGGATCAAAGGCTTTTAATAGATTTTTGAGATTAGCTGATATTTTTATGTTTTTGAAAGCCGTAAACGTTGCCTGCTTTCCAGCTTTTCAAGATAGCTTATAACTTGGCAATGAGTCGCACAAAAGTTATTGGTCTACTTCTAGTCAGTATGCAACAAATACATAAATACTTTAAATAAAGGCCGATCAGTTTTTTTAAAAAAAAAGAGGTATTGATGATTAAAACTTTTGTGATGTATCTACGTAGCAATGTATGAACTCATTGTTTGTTAACAAGGTGTCTACTGATACAGGCTGACCAAAAAATCAGTACTTTTACAGTACTTTTTCAGTACATTCCCAAGAAATTCAGCATCTCCTCAACAGAAAAATTCAGTACTTTTTCAGTACCTCCAATCGACAAAATTCGGAAAATTTCAAAAATTTGAATTCCTCGCTTGAATTGCGACAAAAATGACAACATTTTCGGACCTTCTTGCAAATTTCCGCACTTTTTCAGTACTTCCGGACCGCCCTTAAAAACTCAGTACTATTTACGGACTTTCCAGAAATTCCAGACTTGTAGACACCCTGGATAAAATTGTAAATAGTTAAAATGGGTATTTTGATGGTCTTGGTAACCCGCAGTCTTGATGATGGATTTTTAAGTGTCCTTATAAACCCATCATCCCCAAGAATCGAACCCAGAACCTTAGTGCTGGCAACAAACTGCTTTGGCCACTGCGTCACCGACACTGCTAGAAAAAGGAACAGAATCTTCACAAAAAAAAGGTACTTACAAGTAGACTCGAAAAGGGTGACAACCAACCCCGACAAGGGGAAGCTTTTCCTAAAAGTGTAGGTGACCGAGTTCTTCTTCTTGCTGAGTATTTTTGTTATGACTAGTAGATCATTGAAAAGGAACACTTCGCGCTGATGAAGGCTATGCTTTTCTTTCTTGTTAATGTCTAAGACTTCATATAAACGACAATAGCAGACCAGTCTTCGATGAGGAACTGCTAGATTCTGTAAGAGAAAAATTTTCATTAAAATTTCACGAAAGAGCTGTATACATTGACATGCAAAAATATATAAAAACTTGTTGTCTTGTTGTATTTTTTAATTTATTGTCTCATTGAATCTTGAGTATTTACCCGTGCATTGTACAATAAACAAATAAATAAATGAAAAGCTCAACAACTCTTTGTCACTATATGATTTTGGAATGACAGGGCAATTTTTCCTTCCTTTATGATTTGAAAAAATACAACTGAACTGTAAACTTTGCAGCCGTATACTTTGAGAAAAGCCACCATAAATATATGTACCCCGCTACGTATTCCCTCCATGCAAAATCAAAATCTCCGATGTGTAAACGTCCATGAGATACAGGACCTTAATAAACGAAGGCATACTTCCCAAGAGAGTGAATCCTATCACGTGAGGGCGAAAAATCAGATACAAATTTTCAGAAAATAACTTAAGTGCATCTGACGTCCAACACAAAATGAAAACAACGAAAATGTACTTACTGGTTTTTTGCCAACAATTGTAGACTGCACCTTTAAAACTTGGGTAACATGATCAGAGCCGGGCTTGAATTCATTTGCTTTCACTCTTTCATATATACCTACGAGCATGTCTCTGTCTACGTCGTGACAGTCATCCACACCTAAAAAAACCGAAATATGAATAAGTCATACTTTGACAAGAGGATTGCAGAACTCATTTACGATAAACTCAACATAAGCTGTACAGGAAACTACGTAACATTGACAACAAAGTTTTTTAACCTCGGTTACAACGGGTACAATGCTTCTACTTGTATTAAATTTTTCTCGTCGGGGGAGGGGGGATGTATTTTTAAATAAAAGTAATCTAGTAAAGGAATTAAATACATGGCTACAAACCTCTTAAATTCTTGATAAAATCGTCTAGTTTCATGCGCCGCTCTGGCTTCAGGTTGGGCGTGTGTAGATCCGTGTTGAGCATGATGATGGCGAACGCAAGGACAAAAACAGTATCAGGACTTCGCAGCCTAGCAAGAACATCTCGGTTGCAGTGGCAGTATCGATGACTAAATACTTCCATGAGTCGCTCAATCTTTTGAGCTTCTCCTGGTAGCCGAAGGTAAGTCTGAAATTTGCGCAGAGCCACATCAACCTGCATTCCTGAGAGGTCCAATTCCTCTGCAAAACACCTAAAACAACAGAGTTATAATTAGAAAACAGAGGCATAGATGATGGCTTAATTTATAGTCAAACTAGCGCAAAATCGGAGGTTGCTATCATTGAAACTGAAAATAGGAAACGGGTCCTGAGCACACTGGGGTAAATATTTTAGGAACGCAGTTTCTGTCAACTTGGGTAAAGAAATTTAAATTTGAGTTTTTGACAATGAAATACATCTAGTTTTAGAGTCCTCATGAATGAGCTACTAGTTACTAAGTTTATTTTTGTGCCAGTTAGGAGTGTTAAAATGTACTTTAGTCCAACAATTTTGAACTTTGAAAAGGAGGCAGCTTTAAATTTCAGATTACATTTCATATAAAGTATATGTTATTTGAACTTTTTTAAGCAAAGTATAAAACATATCTCACAACGCTCTTTTTCAGGAGGTAGGAAGGGGGGAGGGGGCAAAATTTCAGTAATGTCCTAAGCTATGATCAAAGAGGTACAATAATCTTTTTAAAGGAAAGCAAATTACTTACTCTAGAACTGCATTATTGAATTTTGCTTGTAAATTGCCTAAATACTCTCCAATCATTTGCTTGCTTAGTCCTTTCCGTGAAATGAAGAACCTTGCAACACCCTGCGGTGTGTTCTCTAGGAAGCCACGACGGACTAAGTAAGCTATTCCTTTCTCCGGCTTCTTATTGAAGAGATTCAGACCTACTCTATACTGACGCTTCCTCACCGTTTCTGAGATCTGCAAAAGAGGCAGGAATGATTAATTGCATGATGAGGATGACTCCCTCTGATTTGTGGAGCGAGAAATTAGAGGTTGATAAAAAAAATTCAAGAGGCCCAAAATTTCAAAAAATTAGAATACTCTAACATAAATTATAGGAACTGAGGTATACACAGAGGGAGGAAATCCAAAAATTCAATTTTGGAGATTCAAAAATAACTTTAAAAAGCACAAGTGTTCTAGATTAAATGATCAAAGATAGCTCTTGATGCAAAGAGTTCCTCTCAAAAGTTGCAACAAGGAGGCAATTCGCTGAAAATTATTTCACCTCGTAGATACGGTAAATGGACAAGGTTATTTATAACTTCCATCCTTCTTTTGAGCTTTTGCACATCTACATTCAAAAGCAGAGTTTCATACTTTTCTTGACGTTAGAAACTGTCACACTAATGTTTCTTCAATCCACTGATCGAGATCCTATTTCTTTTGCTCTGGAATTCTTGGTTGTAAACTAAATTTTGTTGACAAGACAAACCGAATTTGATAACAAGACCAGATAAATCAACAAACCTTGTATGATAATGCCACTTCATGATGATAAACAGGAAGTGAAGTTGTTGATTGCATCTGTTCGTGGACCTGGAAAGAGAGAAAAAGAAATTAACTAATAAAAACCATTGCTATACAGGCTAATGGGAAAGAGTTTGACCGAACAATAGAAAAAGGGGCGATGAAAACGATGGGACAAAACAAATTTTGAGTTTATGGGGTTATGTTTGCGACCCAGATTTTCTTTATCATTCAGAAGGAACTTTATCCCTCAGACATACCAGCAGGGATGTAGCAAGAGCGGAGGAGGGATATCTCTCCTTCCCTTTCTCCTAAAATTAACAAAAAATTCAAGAGGCCCTGGACTACTGCATTATAATGCTTTTTCATATTGCAGTTACATTTAGGGGGCTTTGGTTCACTTACTGACATTAAGCAAGGGTAACATCATCCTTTTTTAAAAACTCTATGAAGGGATCTCTCTCTTTTCTCTCTCTCTTTCCGACTCTATCTTTTCTTTTAATTGAGGCTTATTCTGCTCTTAAGTTTATAGTTTTCTTTTCATCTAGAAGGTTAGATTGTTGTTGTTACCATTTGTTTAAATATTGTTCTTGCTGTTTCAAAATTGTATTCTTTTCAATGACAGGAATTGCACTGTTTTGTATCCTAAATTTATAACTCTTGTATGAATATTAGGGTGGTCCTTATTTTGGACTTTTGAGAAATTCTAAGTTCGGAACCCTGCAATCGATTCCTTTTTATGAAAAAATAACGGGGGAAAAAAGGAAAAAAAAAAAAAATTTTTTTACCCATGTCGCAATGGCGCCAAAGTTGCGGCGCACGAAAATACGATTTTCAGCAAATCGGGCTTTCACGGCATTTTGCCCCGAACTTTGGGCACGCATTATTGCATGTAGACGTATGAAAATTTGCACTGGTACACATTTTTTAGTGCTCTTTCACGTGAAATCATCAGATTTTGGCTAAAAATTAGGCAAATGCATGTTTCAAACCCTCAAAGTTACGGAAAAACACGATTTTTCGGGCTTTTACGGCATTTTGCCCTGAACTTTGGGCATGCATTATTGCATGTAGACGTATGAAAATTTGCACTCTTACACATTTTTTAGTGCTCTTTCACGTGAAATCATCAGATTTGGGCTAAAAATTATGCAAATGCATGTTTCCAACCCTCAAAGTTACGGAAAAACACGATTTCTCGGGTCCTAATCAGGAGTTACGTTTATAGGCAGTGTCTACTGAAACATGATGATTTAAAAGAAAAGGCGTGATAAATTGCCGTTAGTACTAAGTTTTACCGTAGTTCAACGTAAAATTTGCGTTTAAGATCTATACGCGCGGATCTAGGATCAGCTCAAACACGTTGAAGCATGTTGAGATGGCTCCTCCAGGATTCGCTGGATGACTAGACAGGATTGTACTTGTTCATACATGTATAATTTTGTCGCAATTCTTCCAACTATGCTCAGTCGACGGCAGTTTTCTATTCGGAGTGGACGCATTGTAGATACGCGATTCATTATGGTTGTTTCGATATTGACACGCTCTTAAGTTTAATTAGTCATCATGCCCCAAACTCGACGCGATACTTCGGTATTCTTGATTGGTCATTATCAACCCCAAATTATTGGTAGCAAACTACCCTCCAACGGTGATGTGTTGCGAGTTCTATTTTTTAATATCCATGAGGTGGGAATCCAAGATGTGCATAAAAGTGCATTTCTAGTTATAAGTGAAGCTTTAACATTTTGGGAAAAAGCCAGAATTCCTACAAAACATCACCACGATTGCGTGAAAAAATTAGAAAATTTACATGCGGCACATAGAAATCTGACTAAAAGTAAAAGTAAGAATTTTCCTGCTGACATTCGTAAGAGACAGGAATTCGTTGATGAACTGGACGATTTATTCGACATTTCTCATGCAGAGGCGCTTGTAGAAGGATCAGCTCATTATGTTGGACTCGAAGAAGATAGAAAGTTCCTGCTAAATCAAAGAAAAAAAGGAAGGGAAGGTTTCATGTTCGGGATTGATTGGCAGCTATACAAGAGGGAACTTCGTGCGGCAGAACGCCAAGGAGCACTGATTGAACGTAGAAGGAGAAGTGAGGAATCTTTGCAGGCAATGGGTAAGTTAAAAAGAAAATAAATAATCATCAACTTGTAATCTGCTTGAACTGTGTAATAGTTTTCTAGGGGAGGGGGGTAGGGTGTTTCTAACAGCTTTAATTTTTAGGGTGAGGGAATGGAGAAACCGAAATTTTGCTGATACTCTTTCCATAAAATCCTGTTTGATTAACGCTTTCTCACAAATTTATTTCATTTTTTTTTCATTTTTTTAGAGGAATGCGTAGCTTTTGAATCTTCAGATGAAGAACAGGTTCCCTGCCCATCAACCTCAACCTCAGATGAAAAGCAGCTGTGCAAGAAGACAAGAGCGACCAAAAACATTATCACTCCAAAAGTTATGGCTGCACTCGATAGGTGTAAAATTTCTGATAGGAATGCACTCATTATCATTACTTCTGTTCTGGAGGCAGCTGAGACTGATCCATCCATTTTTGCAACCAATAAGACTTCTTTCGGAAGAGCAAGAAAAGCGTTACGCGAGGAAAGAGCAAAGAATTTGAAGGAACGTTTTCATAACTTAAAATTGAATTTTGTAACCGTTCACTGGGATGGGAAACTGTTTATCATTCCTGGTTCTGGAAAATTTGATAGAATTGCGATTATTATTACTTGTGCTGGGGTGGAACAGGTCTTATGTATTCCATTCATTGAAAACTCCACTGGTTTTGAACAAGCTGAGGCGATTTATGAAGCTCTTTTAAACTGGGATCTTTTGGAATTGGTTCAATCTTTGTGTTGTGACACAACCAGTAGTAATCTAGGCAGAATTAAGGGTGCTGCGGTTTTGCTAGAGCAAAAACTTGAGAGAGATATTTTATACTTGCCTTGCAGGCACCACATATACGAAGTAGTGTTACATGGTGCATTTGACTCCAAAATGCCCCCATCTAAAGGTCCTACCGTCTTAATTTTCCAACGCTTTAGAGAAGCTTGGTACCAAATTGACCCAACAAAATTTAAAACGGGTATGCAAGACCCCAAAGTAGCCAAAATTTTTGAAGCGGATCGTGAAAGCATCATTGTTTTTGTAGAGAAAACATTACAAAAAGATAATGCACCTAGAGATGATTACAGAGAATTTTTGAAATTAACTTTGATATTTCTCGGGAAAATTAACGAAGGCAATGTTCATTTTTATGCTCCTGGCCCTATTCATCATGCCAGATGGATGGCTAAGGCTATTTATTGTCTAAAGATTTATCTGTTTGCGGACCAATTTACTTTCCAGAAAGGAGAAAGGC